CACTTGTTGCACTTCCAAAGGAAGATCTTTGGAAGATCTGTTTTTGATGAACATATTTCATTAAGGGAAAAAATGTACCTTCACAATTGTAGTTATAGGAAGAGGCCGATTGGGGGGAATCTCCCCCCCCCCTCCCCACGAAAAATTAGGTATTTTAACGAACATGAGATGTACCATTCTCTTTGGCATCCTTTATGCTATCTATGGTCTAAATTTCATCAAAAAGTCTTTTGCCGTTTTTAAGGGGAAAAAATGGTTTAAAGGAAATAATTTCGAATTTGGAGATAAACGGCTTACCCGCAAGCGTTGTTCCTATACACGGTCGGCCCGCCGGCCGGACAGACGTTTGAAGTCGATTTTTCGGTTTCAAGGACCCACAAAACATGGATTCTGGTTACACCACGTCTTAAGAGGGTTTTTTTCTAACTTGAGCAACTGTATTTATCAACTTTATTGTTACCACGGCACGGCAATAAGTGTTTTCTACCCACAATTCTCCCCTTTTTTCCCGCAGCATTACAGAACATTCTCTTCTTAAGAAGTACCTTAAGGCGAGAATGTAAAAATACTATATTTATTTTTCTTAAAAACATTGTCTTTCTTTTTAAAATGTACTTTATAATACGTTTTTTCATGGAATTGCTCGGAAAAACATTGTAATCGGCCCTTTTTACTTTCTCGCCCTATGACGTATTTCGTGAGAAGAGAAAGTTATGTAATCGTTGGCCGGAAAACGACGAATTTGTAGTTTCTACCGCATACGCAGTAGAGATAAAGATATGCAAGACTGGTTCGATAGTTCAAAGGACGTTTAAGAGAATGGTGTAGGTCTCAATGTCGTTAAAACGCCTGATTTTTCAAAAATTGCAAAAGTGCAAAATTTTTCGGAGTCTTCCTACAACAAAAATATTAAAGATTTTCCCTTTACAAAACCTGTTCTTTAAAGATATTTTGAAATAAGACAATATACAATTTTTTGAAATTATGAGAACTTTCGCGTATTTTTACATGAATTATACGCAATTATTAATTTTATTTAAACAATTTTTTTCAAAAACCGCGCCATTTTTTATTACATTTGACCTCAAATAGTGTACAGGTCCCGTGTTTGTTAAAATCTCTGATTTTTCGAAAATTTCAAAACTTTTCCGCGTCTTCCTACAACTATAATTATGATAAGCATTTTTTGTTAATGATATGTTCATAAAAAAACCATCTTCAAGTAATGCCAAGTTCAATTTTCCGAAAATGAGAGTATTTTGTGTTTAAATGGAGTCACATAGTCGCCCGCTTCGAATTTCCTGCGCTTCCCGAACGTAATTTGGGATGTGTTTGGACGAGGTAATTAGAGCTTATGTCGGTGATCTGGGCTGTCCGGGTGACGCCGCATCGAAGGCTGAGTTGCCGACGTTTCGACCATCCTGTCGTGGTCTTCCTCGGGGCTGGTATGCGCCGTGATGGTCAGCGCTCGTGTTTATATTCAAGTCTAGGCCGTGTGCTATTGGCTGAAGCAGCGGCCAATCGGAAGCCGCCAGTTAGCAGCGCGGGGGGGCCCCTGACCTCCAGGAAGACGCCGCCTGCCGCGCTGACGGACAATGGGCCGAGGTGAGGCGCCGACCGCCGCTGACTGACCACTTCCAGACGCCGGGACACAGGGCTACCGCTCCCGCGAGCCGGGTCATGACCGCCCGGCGGTCGAAGATGAACTCTGGCCAGTACGGCCGTTTAAGATAGTACACAAGATTAATTTTAGCACGAGACTTCACCTCGATCACCAAAAAAATAATTAAAATCATTTCAAGAAAAATGAAACAAAGCTTTTGAATGTAGAGGTAATGTGGGGCTGAGTTAGCTCTATCACGCATGCCACCCTCTAGGGAGTCTACCGACGGAGCAGCCGAGGCAACGCGAAGCGGAGGAAATTCAGGTAATCAGGTGAGTCGGGGTAACCACGCGGAGTAGCGGTTAGACTATTTACTTCAGATGTCACACAGAACAGTGACATAATACAGATATCAAATAATTACAATGCTTGTTTCTAATTTTTATTTCCTTTATTATCTGAGCCAATAGCTGGATAAACAGATTATTCGAGAGCTTAACAATAAGATAAGTAGTTAAGTTCTCTCCAATATTGTATTAAGCTTTATATTGTAAGTTGTCAGAGGTTAACAGTTTTTATTTCCAGCGGTGGATTGACAGAAGGAATTTGCTCATTGCAATGTTTTCAGCGTAATTGTATAGTGTCCAAAGTACATACCAAACTAAAGGTGATTAAATGAAATTACAGCATCATATAATTTTGAGAGCTGCACTGACATTACTTTCAATAATACAATTATAACATTGTTGGAGATAAAATCTTCTAAAGAGATTTCCAAGTGCCATGGACTTTTCTAATCGTTCGCCTTGATGTTACACACAAAATGAAAAGATGTTTTGTAAATAAGACACAACTACTGTTCAGGCAATGCAAACAAGTAGACAAAATACAGTGGTGTAAAAGAAAGGGGTTTCTATTAAAATACTAATATTACCACAGACTTATTTTATCATTCCTCTTACAATTTCCAGTTCATTTGCTCATGTCTCGATTTCGATACTTTGGGCCTCCAAGGGCAAAATGTTATTAGGCACTCCTTCAGAAATAATTTTTGATTATCTAACAAACACTAACTATGATAGAATAAATCCTTGTACAAGTACCGATGTAAATTAACAAATTACTTACAAAATGAAAATTTCATACATACTTACTTACTTATTTACAAATATATATTTTAAGTTTCTATTGTTCTAATCAATTTTTTTTTAAATTCAAACATTAAAGTTCAATAAACTATTTCATTATTGATTATTATTCAGATAAAAATATTTTATGTAGTTAAGAACATTTACAAAATCTGAGAACCGAGATGGGAGTCCCGAGCCTTCTTATTTTTCTAGTAGGGGAAATCCAGCTCTACATTTACCTATATCTTGAATGGTTAACTCTAGCAAAAAATGTATTTTTTCATTTCAACATTTTTAATGACACTAAAAGTACATCTAGTTGCTGACCTACGCTAAAGGTCGCTGCTTTGAGTCCTGTGTAATGTATCTTGCAATTGCGTCGTAGCAGCCAATGACAATCCACTATGTATCTCGCATAATAAAAGACAGATTTCCAATAATTACTCGTTCGGATAATGGAAAAATAGGTAATAATTTGTTCAGGAGCAAAAGTCAAAAATCATACATACGGCAAAATACAAAATAATAATACTGTACAGAAGGTATAAACAGTCTATAAACTAAAGATCACTCATTTTCTCATAGAACGATTGGCTCATAAAGTGATTCATTTGGAATATTAATTGAATTGAGTTGTTCATTCAACATCCATCACATTTCAGCTTTGCTGAATATCTCGTTAATATAAAAGGTAAGATTTTCTAGAGTGAGACTCTTACCATTGCTCCCAGTGCACCGAGGTAAGTGTAAGAATTATTTTCAAGAACTTGTCGCTCGATTTGAATGAAGCGCGTTACGCGCATGGTGTTGCCGAGTTTCGGGTTACCGTTCCGACCTCTAGGAAGCGCGCGAACGTCTCCCTTTGGACAGATTTAGCCTTATAATTTTGCAAAATTCTTCCCTTTGGAACGGTAGATGTCCTTCAAATTGCGCATATTGATTCTCCAACATGCTAGCTTCCTAAGGAAGAGATTTTAAAAACATTTTCAACTGTTAGTTGTCTTACAATTTTAAAATTTCAGGTCAGATCTGACAGCTTGCCATTAGAGCCATACTAATGATACAATTTACGATCCGAATACGTAAAAACTAGACAGTGAAATTCAGTATTTTGATTAATACGATAAATGAGACATGTTATACGTACGACGTATCTCACTCTAACCACCTTAAAGTGCCTATCACTGTGTGCGATACCATATATTGGGACGAGAATGCAAATAAATTGCAAAATAAATAACGATGTAAACAAAGACACTGTAGCAGCAGTAGTAGTAATAGTAGTAATAGTAATAGTAATAGTAGTAGTAATAGTAGTAGTAGTAGCAGTAGCAGTAGTAGTAGTAGTAGTAGTAGTAGTAGTAGTAGTAGTAGCAGTAGCAGTTCTCTTAGTAAGAGGCTTCCCCTAGAGAGTAGTCTCTCTTACTAAGAGGCTTCCAGCGCTCCTACCGGAGCGGAGGGTGACCACAGAAATGGCGCCTATTTCAAACCGATCTGCATTGTCACGTGAGCCATATGAAGCGAGTAAGGGCAGAGAAATTGGAACTGTAGGTATACCTTCAACAAGCGTTGAAGGTGGTGTATATTCTGAAGAGGTCGATCAATGTAGAAAAGAATATATAAATCTTGGAGATGGAAATGAAAGTGCCGAAACAAATTCCCAGGATAGGTACCTTGTTGTCACACCGGGGGATGAAGAAAAAATGGTGTTGGACTCATTGTTAAATAATCTTGAAGACCTTAAGTCTTATATAAACTCAAACAGAAATACCAAAACTGAGATCAAAAGAGGGATAGAAGACTCTTTTAGACTGGCATATTTGTTAAAGACCATGGGAAGCAAACGGGTCCCTGTAGATCAGTCTATTCAATGCGACCTGACGACAGATAACTCACGCACTGTTCCCGACGACTCTCGGCCAACTGTTCTTCCTGAAGAGACAGCGAGTTGTGACTTGTTTAGAGAAAAAATCAGAAAGGCCGATAACTTTGAGGAGTCGGAGAAACTAATGAGATGCCTCTGGTTAGAAGATTACTTCCAGAGAACGAAAATGGTGTTTGGAAACCCTCTAAAAACAAGAGATGGAGACATTGTTATTGTCACAGACGAACACAAAAAACAAGAAAAGAAACCTTTTTTTGGAAGTCCAGCTCCTGGAAAAGTATCCTGAACTAGACGCAGATGTTGGTTCTATCACCGGACAAATTAAGCACATAGAACAGAGCATCAGAATTAAACAGGGAGATGGAAAAGAACTAAGACTAGGATGGTGTACCAAATTACAGTGGAACCCGGAAAAGACAGTAAAGAGCCCAGCGAAAGTCTTTACAACGCCACTACTCTACTGAAAGAACTGGCAATAGACCAAAACAGGTCAAACCTAATGATAGCACATGCCAATGCGCAACGGTCTCTGGAGTTGCGGAAAACATTGGAATGTATCCTTGCAAATACAAATATAGCCATCCAGGTGTGCACTCCTCAACGCCAACCTGCACCGAACAAGAGACAGCTAAAAAGGAAAGACCCAAAAGAACCTTCCACTGGCTTGGTGGTATCATGCGAAGACAAAGAGAAGACGTATGCGGAGCTTTTGATGGACATTAAAAATAAACTGCAAGTGGCAGGAGCTCTAGACAAAGTGACCTCCGTCAGGAAAACAAAAGCAGGTGACTTAGTCCTTTCATTGAAAAAAGGTGAAACGGAAGTCAAAAGCATCATAACGGAGCAACTTCAGAGACCAAATGCCCGTATCGTGGATCATCGCAGAACAATACTACATGTTAGGCAGCTCGATGCAATAACAACAGCTGAAGAACTCCAAGAAAGAGTTCGCGCGGAGACAGGAAATGAAGACGTAAATGTCCGATCCATGAGACCGGCATATGGTGAGACTCAATCAGCCACGGTTGAAGCCCGCACGGTTGAAGCAACCGCAGAGCACCTCTGTAAAATAGGAAATAGGTGGGAATGGTGTACTGCTTTGTTAGCAGAAGAGGATGTCTGGAGGTGCCATCACTGCTGGAGTTATGGACATATTGCAAATAACTGCCGCGGCGAAGACAGAAGAAACAAATGCTATAACTGCGGACACGAGGGACATATAGCTAATGCGTGCAAGAACCCAGCTTATTGTCCTCTTTGCAAGGAAGACCACAGGGCAGGCACTGGAGTATGCAGGCCATTCGGGAAAGCTCTCAGACAGGCATGAAACGCTCAACCATGATTATTGTTATACAAATAAACGTCAATAGACGTAGACTGGCGCACGACCATATTAATGGAAGCGATAAGCAGATTAAAATTCTCATAAGCGAGCCCAACAAAAATATGGCAACAAATGAAGGTTGGGACTCAAGACTCGGGAATCATTGTAACAAACCCCTCGATTAGAGTCACGGAGTATGGAAATGGCGAGGGATTTGTTTGGGTCAACGTGGAAGGGCTGTATATTTGCAGTTGTTATATCTCGCCAATCACAAATATATAGATATTTTCTGAATTTCTGGACGCGCTCGAATTAGAACTTCGAAGGAAAAGCACTAATATAATAGTGGCTGGCGACTTTAACGCGAAGTCGGCGGACTGGGGATCTCCAAAAGAAAACCCTAGGGGAAAAATGATTACAGATTGGGCAGCAGCACTTAATTTAACGGTTATGAACACGGGAACACAACCGACATTTGTAAGAGGCACGCAAACATCAATCATCGATATCATCCATGCACTGTTGCTGAGTTAATCCACGTCGAAAGTTGTACAAATAATCACACGAAAATGTTCACGATTTAATTCCATTTTGGGGCCAAGATGAATCTTTTAAGTTCTTGTAAACAACACAAATAGCGCTCGTATGTGAAAACGTTCTGAGTACGTATAACCTCAAAACTTCCAACTTTACAATAAAGCTGTCAGTTGCCAGATTGCAACACCAGGGTTGCCAAATCCCGAAACATAAAAGGCAACCTTCATACAGCGAGGAAGACTAACGACAAAGGCCTACTGAGTTTATTAATACTCCTGGATGTAAAAAACGCATTCAATAGTGCGTCTTGGTCTGCAATAATGAGGGATATGGAGGAAAGAGGTATAGCACGTTACCTTCTTAATATCATTGGTGCGTACTTATCCCAAAGAGCAATTACTGTTGGAAAGGACAAGTAACTAGAAATTACAGTAGGGGTCCACAGGGTTCAGTTATGGGTCCAACACTGTGGAACATACTATATGATGGAGTCCTCCGACTAACAATTCCTAAAGGGACGACACTCATCGCGTTCGCAGTCGACCTAGCAATCGTAGTCACCGGAAGGCGACACTGTAGTGAAAACGGTGAAAGCAGTTCATTATCTAGGGTGGTAATAGATGACTCACTTTTGGACACCACTTCAATATGGTAACTGAAAAGGCAGGAAGAACAACTGGCGCACTCAGCAGACTGATGAAAAATATAGGAGGCCCCAGCCAAGGAAAGAGAACAATACTGAGCTCTGTAATGCAGAATATATTACTCTATGCTGCACCTATATGGGCAGAAGCAGCACAGAGTAAATATAATAAGACAAAACTCGTCAGGAGGCAAAGGAAAATAGCGCTGCGAATTGTCTGTGCATACAGAACAGTTTCCACAGAAGCAACATTGGTTCTAGCAGGACTTATGCCAATACACATTCTGGCCCAGGAAGGAAAGGCATTGCATGAAGCAAGAGAGTAAGGCACAACAAAAGAGGAGACCCGGGAACAATCCTTCAGAAATGGCAGAACGAATGGGACAACACGCCCAAAGCGTCATGGGTACGACGTTTGGTCAAACGGACACAGCCCTGGGTGACATGAAAACATGGCCACTAAACTACCATACAACACACTTTTCACAGAACATTGTAACTTTGGAGTATACACGCTTACAATTGGCAAAACGTTAGATGACCTATGACGCTGTCAGGCCAAATATAGCAGAACTCACTGCTTTCCGCTGCTGTAGATGGAAAAACCTACAGGTAGTGGTAGTTGAGGTGAAAGTGGTGGTGGTGGTGGTGGCAGTGGCTTTAGTGGTAGTAGAAGTAGTAGCAGTAGTAGTGAACTCCGTTAGGAAAACCAAAGACGGTGAATTAGTCTTTTCGCTGAAAGAAGGAGAAATGGACGTCAAAAGCATCATAACGGAGCAACTTGAGAGGACGAATACCCATATTGTGGATCATCGTAGATCAATACTACACCCTAAAGCAGCTGGATGCCATAAAACAGCTGAAGAACTCCAAGAAAGACTGCCCGCCAAGGCAGGAAATGAAGTAACTGTCAGATCCATGAGACCGGCATATGGCGAGACTCAATCGGCACCGGTCGAAGCCAACGAGACAACTACAGAGCACCTCTGTAGAATAGTAAGAATACAGGTACGAATAGTGTACTGTTTTGTTTGCTGTACTGTTTGTAGCCAGACTTCTTGTTTTGTGGGCTCTGGATACCGAAAAATCCAATGACGCCTGTCCATCTGTGAATTACAATAGCGGCAAAACCGTTTAGCCGATTTTCTCCGTAACTGATCGATCTGGTTGATATCGCGGCCCGTTGAATTTGACCCCGATATTTTTTGGTGTGTGTGTGTGGGGGGGGGGGTACTTTTCATAAAACCCATGGAACACTTTCAACAAAATAGTGCTATAGATTATATTATGTAGTTGGATTGACAGACGTTTAAGAGAATAGTACAGGTCTTATTTTCATTAAAATTCTGATTTTTCGAAAATTGATAAAAATCAAAATTATTTTCGGCATCTTCCTACAACTAAAATCTTAAATATATATGTTTCCTCTTAATAAAATGTTTCCTAAAGTGATTTTTAAAGCGGTCTCGCCACGTAAAATAAGGCAAATTCAATTCAATTCAATTTTTAAATACGTTCATGCAAAATTTTCCCCAAATTTGAGTATTTTTCGGCTAAGTTTGCGTGAAATAAAGGCATTTTTTTGTTTAAACAATTTTTCTAAAAAAAACGGTTCCATCAATTTTTATGAAATTTTGTTGGTGAATTGTCAGAAGGTCGTTTAAGATAAAGATGTAGGTTTAATGTTGGTTTAAAAAAACTGACTTTTCGAAAAATGGAAATAATTAACAATTTTCGAAGTCTTCCTACAACAATACAATTTTTGTAGATGCAAGATTACAAGATACAATTTTTCTCTTAATGAAATGTGTTCAGGAAAAACATCTAAAAATAATGTTATGTTCAATTTTTTTAAAATAGAGTATTTATGCGAATTTTTGTAGCATACGTGGGCAATGTTCATTTTCTTCAAACCATTTTGTCTTAAGGCTAATTGCACCGAAAAATACTTGTAGGAAAATTCAATAGATAGCAGCACTATCACAGGGGAATTTACTTTCCTGATAACGTCTGAACCAATGGTCCGATTTTCGATCTGTAAACGGCATTTGACGTCTATTTACAATAGAATTTACGCTACGAAGATATTAAACTAGAGATGCTATACTATTATTACAGACAGTGATAAACAGTCTGTAATAGTAGTACATAACTATCTTTTTCACATATTTCCATCTTCCTTCGATTACCATCTTAAAATTGTTTGAGGCAATACTCAAAATATCGATTCCGATTTGGAACTTTTTTTTTAATGAACTAATTCTGTAAATATTACCATTTTTCCATCTCCCCACATCTTATTTTTGATATATTTTACTACTAAGGTCTTCTGTTATCATTCCACCTTGCTCTAAGATCTTCCGGGTTCAAATACCGAAAAGAATAAGCGGAGTATACGCACGAGCTCTTTTATCCTACAACTCGATTTTGAATCTCAAAACGACGTTTATCTTTAAAGAGTTTATCTGGTGGATCTCTTTTCCCAAGTAAAATAGCCGACGATAATTTTTAAAATGTTTTCGTACTTTCGGACAAATTTAAAAAAGTTCATGATCCTGGCTGTCCGGGTGACGTCGCGTCGAAGGCTGTGTTGCCGACGTTTCGACCATTTTGTCGCGGTCTTCCTCAAGGCTGGTATGCCCATATCACGAGATCATGCCCATGGCATACCAGCCCTGAGGAAGACCGCGCTAAGATGGACGAAACGTCGGCAACACAGCCTTCGACGCGGCGTCACCAGAGAGCCAAGATCATGCACATGACTCTAGCTGCGGAAGCATACAACTTCGAATTTAAAAAAATGTGGTAAAATAGCGGGCTGGCGAGCTACATCCTGACTCCAACGCCGTAACAAGCATCGAAATAAGATATTATGAATCATGACTTATCCCAGCTTAGATAACACAGAGAAACCCTCGTATGTCACCGGAAGCATCGCAGATCCTGCACAATCTGCGCGTCTCCCACGCAACGCTCAGGAAAGAGGCGAAACGATGAGGGTACTTGAATTTCATGACGCGAGCTGCCAATTACATTTAACAGTGGGGGAGGAAGGGAAGATACAAGTTTTTATTCTCGTAAACTAAAAAGTAAATTATTAATTTTGAATCTGGTACTTTTTATGCATGTACACCAGTTATATACAGTTTATTATTATTATTATAGTATTATGATTTATTATTATTATTATGTATTATTATTATGTCTATTCCACCATTTATTTCAAAAGCACCGAAATCAAGTAGACATGTGAGACGAGTCGCTAGGTCTACATACTTTCCCCAATCTCTGATGTAACAACTAACAGGCAATACAAGAGAGAGAACACAGAGCTTTTGTGACCTGACCAATCGAAATTTTAAAAGTTTACATGCGTTATTGAACCATGAAAAAAAGTTAAAATTAATGAAAAATGAGTGATTGTCTCTGCGACTTATTGCACTGAAGTGTTCTGCAGTTCGAATTATGTTTCGATGGATCACTCAGCCGTCTCTTGTTTTTTATTTTCCAAGTCATGCTATTAGAAGGCAAAACAATCTCCTTTTCCTCTTTCGAGATGACGGTATAGATTGTTTGTTGTTGGTGTTGTAAGCGATTCTTGATGCAGAAGCAACGTTGGAATTCTAATTTCCGCAGTCATTATTTGGAGATCAAAAATATTATTGAAAGAGAGGTTTACAAAAACTCAATTCATTGGCGCACATTTCTGTTACGTGTGAATTACAGTCCAGTATTCTTCTCTATTAATCGAAGTTTTTAGTACCTGGAGATAGTACAAAATCTAAAAGCCACTTTCCACACTTGGCGGGTTCAACAATTACTT